AGTCCTCCTCGTCTTCCTCCTCCTCCTCCTCCTCCTCCTCCTCCTCCTCCTCGTCGTGCTGAGGGGCAGCGTCGGGCGGGGAGGGCCCAGCTGGGGGGAGGGGTGGGGGGCTCGCGTCGACCTGGGATCTCGGCCACACGTCGCCGATTCGCCGACGAACCCACCGATGGCAACGCCGCGCGTTCCCGGGCGGGCATGGGCGATCGGGCCCCCGTCGGCAATGCCCCGGCGATCGGGAGCCGATGCTGGGCCGATTCTACACCGCCACTGCCACGGGTAGGGGAGGGAGGAGGAGGGAAGGAGGAGGAGGAGGAGAGAGAGGAGGGGAAAGGGGAGAGAGGAAGGAGAAGGAGGAGGAGGAGGATGAGAGGAGGAGGAGGATAGGAGAAGAGAAGAGAGGAGGAGAGGAGAGGAAGAGAAAGGAAGTAGGAGAGAGGAGGATAGAGGAGAGGAGGAGGAGGATGAGCAAGGGGGGGAAAAAGGGGGGGGTGGGTGAGGGAGAGGAGGAGGAATTAGGATGAGGAATGAGAGGAAGGAGGAGGAGAGAGGAGGAGGAGGATAGGAGAAGAGGAGGAGGAGTGGAGGGAGAGGAGGAGGAGGAGAGGGAGGGGGAGGGAGGAGGAGAGGGAGGGGGAGGGGGGGACGCCTTGCAACTCTCGAGGGCGAGCGATCCCCCCTGAGCCCGTCGATCGGCGGGCCTTCCCAGAAGGCTCGAAGGCCTCCCCGGCCTCCAGAAGAAGCTTCGGGGCCTCCCTCGAAGACGCCGAAGACTTCTCACACGAGGCCGGAGAGGGCTTCCGAGAAGCCCCGCCGCCTTCCGAGAGGGCCTTCTCCTTCTCCGCCTCCTCCTCCTTCTCCTCCTCCTCCTCCTCCTCTTCCTGCTCCTCCTGCTCCTCCTGCTCCTCCTCCTCCTCCTCCTCCTCCTCCTCCTCGCTCGCTGCCGGCCGTCCTCTGTCAAGCGGTCCCCCCGCCGTGCCGCGGCCGAGAGGGGCCGCGCCTGCCGCCCCCGGCGGCGCCTCGCCCGCCGTGCGTGGCGCGAGGGTCAGCTCGAAGCCTCGGGGGGTGGGGGCGGCGGGGGCGTCCTCGCGCTGCGCTCCGCGCCGTCGTCGTCGTCGTCGTCGTCGTCGTCGTCGTCGTCGTCGTCGTCGTCGTCGTCGTCGTCGTCGTCGTCGTCGTCGTCGTCGTGGCCCTCGGCGTCGCACCCCGTCCGCAGGCTCCGCGCGCGCGTGTGGTTCGGCCACGGAGCGTGCCGTGTCTTGACTCTCTTCAAGCCCCGCTGCAGCTCTGGAAACAAGAACAAATGCCGTAAACATAAGCTTTTGGCGCTCCGCGCGGGTTTCTTGGATCTGCTGCGGACCCCCCTCACTGGCGCGCTCCGCGTGGAGCGCCCAATTTTTATGTCCATGGCGTTTTTTCCCAACCATCCTGCGGTGTTGGGTCTTCGTTTTGAAGAGACGGTCCCCGCGTCCTCCTCCTCCTCCTCCTCCTCCTCCTCGAGAGCGGGGGATTGTGGAGTCGCACGCCTTTCGGAGGGTGTTTTCTCTTTCTCATTTCTCTCCTCCTCTGTTTTCCCCTTCTCCTATACTTTCTATTTCTCCTCTTCCCCCCTCCTCCTCCTCTTCCTCCTTTTCCTCTTCCTCCTTCTCCTCCTCCTGTTTCCCCCACAATCTAGCTTTGTGCTTCTCATGCCCCCCAAAAAAATAAGAATGCGGCGTGGCCTCCCGTTGTTTTGTTGTTTTCTTTTTTTTGGGGGTGGGGGGTGGGGGGCGTCTCCTCCTCCTCCTCCTCCTCCTCCTCCTCCTCCTCCTCCTCCTCCGCGCTGCTCCGTTCCCTCCTCTTCCTCCTCCTCCTTCCCCCAGAACCTAGCTTTTTTTCTCCTGCAGCTCCCCCCCTCCCAACAACAAAAAAAAACGCGGCGCGGTCTCCCCTTTATTTGTTTTGTTTTATGCTGTTGTTGTTTTTTGGGGGGGCTCCTCCTCCTCCGCGCTGCTCCGCTCCTTCCTTCCTCTCTCCCCCGCCCTCCTCCTCCTCCTCCTCCTCCTCCTCCTGCCCCCAGAATCAAGATTTTTGTTATCGAAATGCTTCGGAAGAAAGAAATACCCAAGTCGGCATTGCATTCGCATTGATTTGACTATGGTTTGGTATCGCATTGGCACTGCGTTGGGATAGCGCTTGGCAATGCGTTGAATTGCGCTTGCATGTCGCAAATATTGCGCTGACAAGGGACTCAGATTGAAACCCTCTACCAAAAAGGACTCATTTTGAAACCCTCCACAACAAAAAGGATTCATATTAAGACCCGGCACAGAAGGATTCCATGCGGAGCCATCCACAGAAGGATTCCTACTGGAATCTATCACACATGCTTTCTCCCATTGGCATTGCAGTAGCATTGGGTCGGGATCGCCTTGGCATTCGTTTGGCGTTGCGTTGGCACTGCTTTGGCATTGCGCTGGCATTGTGCTGGCGAGTTCCAGTGCCTCCCTTCGCAAGGTGATTCCTCTTGAGCCCCACACAAAGAGGATTCCGATTGAATCATTCCACAGGAAGGGTTCACATTGAACCCCTTTCAAAACAGGATTACATTCGAAACCCTCGATCGAAGGAGTCCTGTCGAAACCGACCACAAGCGATTTCCCCCAGGCATTTCTTTGGCATTGGGTTGGGGTTGCCATGGCATTGGTTCGGCATTGCGTTGGTACTGCTTTGGCATTGTGCTGGCGACTTATAGTGCCTCCCACCACAAAA